TTTCTATTTGAAATAAAACCCGGTTTTGCCAATACGACCTTTCAGCACCTCGAGGTCGAAGATATTAAGGCTGTGTCAGCTAACCGGGGAAAGCCTTGGAAAAATGACCACAGGCGGCTGTTCTTGCAAAAATAGCCTTCCGGTGCCCTTTTAGGGACATTCGGCTATTTCTAGCAAGAATAGCATCATCCTAATTATTTTCAAATAAAGTTTTTGTTCTTTTGGCTAATTTCGCAAAAAGTGAAGTTGGACTCGATGGGGGTTGCCTACGTATCTCACACCCTATGAGAATCAAACTAGCGTAGTTCAGGCCGATAAAACAAACTTCTTTTGAAAACAAGACTCTTTTTTCATTAGCAAATAAAACTATTTTTTCATAAACAAAACTCTTTTTTTTCATTTTCTCAAAAATTCGGCAGAATTTCGACACTATTTGGACATTGGTTTTTTTCTTCAAAACAGGCGAATAACTCTCTTTAACCCTCGTACCTCTATCTCTCTTTCCTCAAATATTCAAAAGCCGGTCAGTATGCAAGTCCGAAGCAAACAAATGCACAAGTAGCAAGTAAGATGCATCAGGATGGTCTTTTGTCATTTTTGGTACACCTGTCCTAGACAGACCCAACCCCTGTGTTGGCCTCCAAAGTCAAATGCACGTGATGCAAACAAACGTTCCTACTAGGGATCCGGCATGAAGCTGAGTTATTCTAGGTTCATAACCTGGGTATTTGTTCTAGATTGTGTACTCAAGCGGACAACTCGAGTCGAGGAGGGGGCTACGTACCGGGAACCAAAAGGCCATCCGGCTTAGTAACTTGTCCGAGCCTCTTTCTTATTTCAAGGTATGACACTAACAGAATAGAGAGTCTCGACCAGCGAGCACATCCCCGAAGATGAGAAGAGAAGGGCTTCGTAGCAGTTTATATGCAGTTTAGATAATATCAAAGTGGTAAAAAGAATCACTTAGTACATTAGGCCCAAACATGTAAAAAATCAGATAAAACAAGCCAATTATAACAATTATTTAAAGCTCGAATTCTGAACCCTGAACCAGAGATTCTGGGTTATCCCCAGCAGAGTCGCCAGAGCTGTCACACTTCTTTTTTTACCTGCGCCCCGTAAAGGGGTGTAGAGGGAGTTTTTCCAATTAAAGGACAATCGAAACGAGATTTATTTATTTAATTCAGAGTCGCCACTTGGGAGATTTATGGTTCCCAAGTCACCGGTTGAATCTCGAATCGAGAAAAAAATTGACTCTGTATTATAGTCTGCGAACCAGAAATCCGGATAAGGAATTCTGTTAACCCGGGAGAAGGTGTTAGGCATTCCCGAGTTCTGTGGTTCTAGCACGGTCGCTCAACTGTCATATTCGGCTTTAATACATGTTGAATCTATGTGCAAATTTTAACTTCAATCGCTTTTTATTTATTTATTAAGGAAAATTGCAACGTCATTAAAACAAATCTTGAACCACGTCACATAAATGCACCCGTGGATTTTGACATATTTTAACATCGTTGAGATTCAGATTTAAGTCACATAAATGCGCACCCGAGTGTAGGAAGGTAACATTATTAAAATACGCGCCTAAAGAGACTAACGCGTTATTACTTTGGGGAAAAACCATGAGATTCGCTAAACAGCCCGTCCCAAAATCTAAGTATTTTTATATATACATTTAATGAGGGCCCCGTAATTTATCTGTTTGTTTAACGAGGCTCATCTCATTTTTATCATTAAAAAGGCAAACCTAAAAGCTATGGTAATTTTTTTTATTTTTTTTTACTTGTCTCTCTGAAATAAAGAAAAGGGTCTAATTAATTAACATGACTTAAGAAACCCGTTTTAAAAAATTAAGACCCAAATAAGCACAAGGGCAGGCCATTCACAGGCCTGGGCCCAGGTCCAAATGAATGTAATGTGAAACAGGACCTAGGCCACCTTGTTCACACGTTGAAGCCCAAACCGCCTAAATATAGGCTCTCAGCCCCTTTTCGACAAAATGAACCACAACTCCAATTTAAACAAGACTAAACACTTGCTGAAATTTTAGTTTTCCACTTTTAAAAATTCGTACCCCAGACAAGATTAAACACAAAAACTGGATTGAGTATGCTGCTCATGAGGTAACCTCAAGTATACGAACTACCACCCTGATTACATAGTTTGGCTATTTACATCCTTTATGTTCCCTAGCACACTCAGCTAGTATTTTAATCAAACTTAACTACTACAGAAATAGCTTCTTAAAATGACTTTATTGCAACTATATTACTTACTAGAATAACTTCATGAAGCAACCTGAAATGACCACCGGAATTAACCTTAGCTAGTTAAGACTTTGCTCTACTGAATATAAGTATAACTGAATGCTTAGCTAAGAGTATTCACACAAGTCTGAGAAAACCAAATACTCACAGTCCAAATACAGTCCAGTATGAATCAGCTGGTCTAAACAATTCAGAAATGGCTCTAATTATACAGTCCTTAATATAATACAAATTAGATGAATTAAATATGTATACTACTCAACAGATGATCAAATACAGCCATATGCATTCCAAACGAGCATAACTCTTGAAATATGGTTTCATTTCATTCAAATCTGCAGTTACATCAAGGTGAGTTCAAATTGTGTACCTGGAAATCAGAAATCAACATGAAGTAGAAGCAGTTAGCTCAGCAGGGCAGTCAACAGCTATTAGGAATTTCACAAAGCCACAACACATTTATTCTTCAACCCAGGAATGATTCAATGACCCAAGAACCAAACAGAAACCAAAAGATTGACCCACAGCAGTACCAAAACAAACGAAATGAACTCAAAGAGTCGACCAGAACCACTTGAAACTTTCAATAGGCTAAAGTTCAATCAGATACCATTTCAGCTGGACTCAAAGTCACTCAAGATCAGTCTAATGTATTTGAGTTAGGAAAATGAAATCACTGAAGCAGGAAAAGAATTTCAATGACACAGTGAGACTTTTTAGTATTTCTCTATGTTCTTTTCAAGCTTAAAACTCTCCAAACTGATCCCTCAGAAACTGACTGACTCTTCAGTATTTTAAGTGTTTTCAAACTTCTCCGATTGCTTAAAGAAGAACTGGCTTAAAATGTTTTCTCACCAACCGATTTCTTCAGGACTGGTGAAACTCCCAAGAACTCTCTCTATTTCTCTAACACTCCTCTCCGTCAATGACTGACTCATAACTCTTTTAATAGGCATACCATTAGTGCTCAATCCACTAACATCTTATCTTTTCAATTCTTTAATTACCCCCATTACCCTAGTGCTTTTATTTTAATCATTAATGCCTATTTTAGTCCCTAAAATCAGCAAGTGCATTCCCCACTATTATATGTTCCTTGCCATTATTTAATTCAATTGGTATGGGCATGCTATATTTTAATCAATTCCTTTTAAGCCTCCACATACCATTATGTTTTGTTCACCACTAACACATTAGATTAATGGTTAATTAAGTACTTTACTGATAGCCCACTAGCAAGACCATTTGCCAAACTTTTAAACCCCCCATATTACCCTCCTGATATCCTTGAAATTATTGTCCTATCCCAATTCCCCTTCAATCGGTACCAACCCCAACAGCTATAACAAATTCAACTCATCAAATTCAATCAGTAGTTCAAGCTAGAACTCAGATCAGATCAAATAGCATAAAAAATAAAGACCAATGAATCCGAACAAAAATCATATTGAACTACCAAGGTCAAATTTCAGACTATGATTGACACAGATACATGGGAATGACTAACTATATTCACAATTCTAAATTAAACTTAGGCAAAATGAATGATCACTGTAAACGCACTGAATCGACAAACAAACTGAACTCATATGCAAAAATGATGAACAACAAAGAAAAGGGAACCAAACATCACACAAAAAGAAGCAATTCGAACCAATAATAACAACAAACACTCATAGTTCTAAATTAACCTTAAACACAAAATGTAGGAACACCGAGGATATACTGAATGGAGCCCTGAGGCTAAGAACAAAACAATCGACACTAAACAACTTGACAAGAACTACTAAACTACAAACATGAACGGATTATTCGATGAAACTATTTATAACATATGTTAATCAATAGAAGAAAACTGGACCAAGAAAAAGGTCCGAAAGAGGAGGAAGAACTACTTGACAAAAATGACGAATTAATCAGTCAAAATAAAATAACAACAAAAGAAAAAGAAAACAAAAGAAATACCTCGAAATTTCATACCAAACTCAATCCGTTTCAGTCGACACTTCGTCTTGAAATTTTGAAGCCAAAACGGACCTTAATCGAGTGTTCTCGACTGAGAACACTCGACTAAAGTCGGTTAAAACCTCAAATTTTTAACTTCGTACACAGTCTGAAGTTTGGTTCTTTTAGGGTTTTCCTTCGATTTGAAATTCGAAAGGCTTTAACAAGATTCGGACAGAACTGGGGTGGGATTTGGGACGAGGGTAGCTAGGTGGTTCAGTGGTGTAACTTTGGGGTCAAACGGACGAACTAGGGTTTTGGGACTGATCTTCGATTGAAGATTCGAAGCGTATGGTACTAATTCGAAGAAAACTGATTCGGGATTTGGAAAAAGGACATTGTGGCGAGGCTGTGGTGTAATTTTGGGGCTGTTTGGACCACCGGAACCGCTGTGAGGCGATTTCCGGTGGGCAGAGCACGGTGGTAGGGGTGGTGTGTGTTTTGGTCTCTGAAGAGACGAGTGGGGGGGTGTTTGGTATATCAAAAATTAGTTGATTAATCTGGGCCGTTGGATGATGGGAACCA